ACGGATTGTAATATATGTTTAAAAATTTATTAAACATAATAAATTAGTGTTTTATAGAATCTTGTATATTTATACATACTAATTTCTTTTTCTTTCATTTTTATTTTTATAAAAAAAAATATTTTTTTATTTTTTAGAACCTCATTGAGTATCACCATTGGACATACAAAAATTAGAAATTTTTTAATGAATTTCAAATATTAAATTATTAATAAAATTTAATATTAAACAAATGTTCATGATACCCATGTGGGTTCATGGATAATGATGCTCTTAAACAGGGTTAAAAACTGAGACGGCTACTAGAAAACAATAAAATTAACCGTCTTCTCTCTCGACTTGGCGATCTAAGAGGCGAATAAACACAACTTCTCAAAGTCGGTAATTCTCATCAGTCGGCGTCGACTCGGGCGCCGGCCATACTCCTCCTCATAGCCATACGTTTTAGATTAAGTTTTCTCCACATAAAATTCAACATCTTAGAGATCGACTTTAAAGTGAAAAGGCACGAGTAGCGATTTCTTCTTCTTTCTCCGGAACGGTAGTCGATGTTCTCCATTGTTATTGATAAGTGTTGGCCATAGATAGTATGTGGTTGGTGATGATTTTGTTGCCCCTATGGTGGTTTCTGTATCTATATGTTTTCTATCCTTATTACGATAGGTTACGATTGACATCATGATTTCATTGGCGATGTTAATCTGGATTACATGTCAATTGGCCTGGATTGCGGTTCATGCATCGTTGGTAAAAAAATTGAAATCAAGAGGGACAAGTGCACATTATTTTTCCACAATTCGTTGATGGTTATTCACTTAAAGGCAATTTCTTAATGGTGGTTGTGATCGGAATTATGATGGTGATGTTTAACCGGTCTTGGAGGATGACGACCCGGTTACCCCTTTATGCATCATGCAATTTCTTTTGCAAATCAAATCGGCTTTGTTATGCGGCGATGGTTCCAAATGTCGGTTCAATGAGTAGCCGCTTTGTCCGGTGACGTCATTACAAATAAGACATCTACCGGTTCTCCAAAGTATTTGTATGTGTTGAAGATTGGGCATAGCAATGGATAATTTGATATTGTATCAAGTTCAATGCAGGTGTTCGGATAGTACAAAAATGAAAGAATCACAA